TGCAGATCCAGATGCAGTCGCAGAGCCTTGGCTTTCCAGAATTCGAATGGCAGGGGATGTAGGGGTCAAGGGTGCTGTGGAGACCTTCTTGGTCTTGGGTGCCCTGGGGCAGAGTTTCGGGTTTCGGGGTTTATGGTTTGGGGTTCAGCATCTCAAGTCGAAACATTCGCTAGTCAAGCACCTCAACAAGTGGCAGCCCCCAACATCTGGAACATAATCCCTAAACCCTGAAGGACAATCCCAAATAAGTCTTTTTTAACCCCAAAGACCAGCCCAATGACCCGGTCGTCCGTCTCCAGCCCTAGAGACCATTGGCCTAAGCCGTAAAGACCAGTGAAAATACGAAGCTTTGAATAATGCCCGGGAAGAATTGAACAAAAGCAAGTTCAGTGCCCGCGAAACTGTGAATACTGCCCGCGACATGTCGAACAACAGACAACCAATGCCCACGAAACTTTGAATAATGCCTGTGAAGAAACGAACAAACAATTCAGTGCCCACGAAGGGTTAGGGGCTTCAATATATGTGAAGGAGTGGTTCAGGGTCACTTTCCGATCGCAAAATGTGGCAGATTTTCCTTCAGTCAGGAGTGGGCGTCGAGCGGTGTCAGGGTTCCGGGGTTTCGGTTGAAGGTCGAGGCTTCAGTGTTTACTGATGGTCGAGGGTTCGAGACAATCAGTTGCATGGATGGTGCAGATGTTTATGTACATATATACATACACATAGATGCAGCTGCAGATGTATCCGCACATGATCTGTTTACATAAGCAAACTCACATGTGCTTTATACAACGAGCACTGCGAAGTACTGTCCGCCTGTGTGTTCCTGCGATTAGCCAGAACCCGCACCCCCCCCCCCCCGAACCCGAACCTCCCTAAACCGTAAACCCTAAACCCTGAACCCTCGCCCCCCCCACTTGAAAGACAGGAACGTAAAGAGGCCAGGAGCCACCAAACTTTAAACCTTCAGCCTTAAGCCTTACAGCCCCAAGCCCTGAACCCTGGAACCCAAAACCCTAGACCCTAAACCCCTTTTTCCCTAAACCCTAAACGCTAAACCCCAAACCCGCAAACGCGGACACCAGGAACTTCCAGCACATCCTTCGCCCCTCGGCTTGAGCCATGGGGTCTAGGGTCTGGGGTTCAGGGTCTAGGGTTTCCGGTCTGGGTGGTTTAGGGTTTGGGATTTTCTGTTCCAGGGTCCAGATTTTAGCGCTTGGGGTTTGGGGTTTTAATCGGTGTTGTGGGCTTTGGGGTTTTCTGAGGGTTGATCTTTGGTGAAGTCAGCCCATGGCTTTTCTCTCCCCAAGCCTCAACACCTTTAACCTTGGCCGCCTCCACACAACAATATCAAGATCAGTATCAGTATTGAAACAAGGAAATAAATACATACATATTAATGTATACATCTATATACATATGCGTATTAACACATGTGTATCTGCATCTCCATCTCCATCTCCATCTCCATCTCCATCTCCATCTCCATCTCCATCTCCATCTCCATCTCCATCTCCATCTCTCTCTCTCTCTCTCACTGTCTCTCTCTCTCTCTGTGATAAACCGTAAATCCTGAAAACCTGAAATCCGTGAGAGTCTGCTTTTTGAGCATAAGGATTCTGGACCCGCCTTGCGAACCCTCTAGAAAAGTGGCTTGGGAACCACCAAACCTCTCCTCCTCTGGGGTTCCTTGAGGTATGTGCAACACAAACGTGGATGGCCGCCAGAAGGTGATGTACGCGCTCACCGCCATTCGTGGCATCGGGCGGCGAATCTCTAACATTGCATCCCGGTCTTCACAGTAGTGTGTGTGTGTGTGTGTGTGTGTGCTAGCAGTATGGTTTGTTTCTGTTCAATGTATCACCCAGGGGAACATGAACAACAATTGTTATTGGGACTGATAAACTGAAACCGGGGAGTTTTTTGTCAAGGAGTTCTGAAAGCAAGCAGGTTTACTGTAGGGCTTAGGGGAAAAGACTGGTGCTTGAAGCCCGGTAGAGTTATGGAGGTAGAGAATTAGGAGAGAATCGGGGCTTGGTTGCAGCACTGCAGTTCACTGGCAAGGTGTGCAAGAAGTGCGACATTGACCTGAACAAGCGCGCTGGTGAGCTCACGACCGATGAAGTGAACAAGATCGTCGCGGTGGTCAGCAAGCCCTTGGAGTTCAAGATCCCTTCGTGGATGCTCAACCGCAACCGCGATGTGAAGGATGGCAAGACATCCCAGAAGTACGCCAACTTCCTGGACCAGGCCCTGCGTGAGGATGCTTGGCTAGTGAAAGTCTCCGCTCGAGTCTTTGTTGAGCAGGATGCCTGGTAGTGCTTCATGTGTGCCAGTAAGGACATCGAGCGCATGAAGCGCGTGCGATTGCACAGGGGTCTCCGCCACTACTGGGGCATCCGTGTGCGCGGTCAGCACACAAAGACCACCGGACGCCACCGTGCCTTCGCATCCATGGAGGGTGGCAAGAAGAAGTGAGTGGGCCGAGGGTGACCCGAAAGCCGATCCAAGTTTTGAAGCTGTGGCTTGAGGTGCTGAAAAGCAGGCAGCAGAACTCATGCGTGTCGCGGTGTTGTGTGCCTGAGAAGGCAACGCGGTGTTTCGTTTTCCCTTTTTTGCTTTTCCGTTGTTGTGCTAGTGGACCTGTTTTCGTGTGTTGGTGTTGTTGCTTTGCCTGTGTGTTTTTGCTTGTCTTGCTTGGCACCCTCCCTCTACGATGGTGCGCCACGTCAATTTCGGTTTGCTCAGGGAAAGCCCTGAAATCTACCGGAGGTCTGTGGGTGTTTGTAAGTGTCAGAAGTACCTTAGAAGACACTAACTCTGACAGCCTGACTTTTCAGCAGTACCCATGAGCCTCCAAGTGCTCCCCGAATTCCTCCCCACGATCAAACCCCCCCAGTTCGGTCGCGGAGCGCCTAATTTATGCCGCAGCTGTTTTCAGCCCTCCTCCGATCAAACTTACGTAACCTCATATTATCCGTTACTACTTCATCTTCGCCGGGGCTCCCAGCCAGCTTGCGACCTGGGGCTGACCCTGACTTGGGGCTGACCGGGTGAGATGGCCCTGCCTCATGAAGGGAACAACCCTAGAAACCCGAAAACCCTAAACCCTAAACCCTAAACCCTACACCCTACACCCTACACCTTAAACCCTAAACCCTAAACCCTAAACCCTAAACCCTAAACCCTAAACCCTAAACCCTAAACCCTAAACCCTAAACCCTAAACCCTAAACCCTAAACCCTAAACCCAAGCCCCAAAACCTCCTGGGAAAATAGGTCGACCCTGGTTGCATGTCGTTCTGAGGCTGCCCTAGTACCAGCACGATGTGTTGACACTGCAACACAACGAAGCAGTCCGAAACCCGAAGCCCTCAACCAGATTGGTATCTTTTCATGCCAAGGGTCGAGGCAGAAAGAAGTGGCTTTAGGGTCTAGGGCCCGGCCACCTGTATGGTACTATGCTAGGCGCTTTCTTCTGTAGGGATTTCAATATTTGCCGGGGATGAAACCACCTTAAATTCTAGACCCTAAGCCTAGGCCGTAGGCCTTAGGTGATCAAACCCTAAATCGTGTGTGCCTTACTTAGCATTCCATCAAACCTTCAAACCCTGAAGCCCTCAAGCTCCAAGCTCCAAGCCCTTAAACCTTAAAACCCTCAAGATCCTAAAGCCTCCACATCCTCAAACTTCTTAAACCCCTGAACCCTAAACTCTAAACCCTAAACCCTAAACCCTAAACCCTAAACCCTAAACCCTAAACCCTAAACCCTAAACCCTAAACCCTAAACTAAACCCTAAACCCTATATACTGAACCTTGAAGCCAGGTAAGCACCTTGCGCAGCCTGTTGAGCGCCTCGGTCCCAGCATCTGCTGCTGTCGTGCTGTTTCGTTTGGGTGTTTTCACTGTGGGTACTTCCCGAGGGTTTAGGGTTTAGGGTTTAGGGTTTGGGGTTTAGGGTTTAGGGTTTAGGGGACCCCGTTTATACCCCAAATAGAATAGAATCCCCTTACCAGAAAGGGTACCCCGAAGCTCGGAAACCCCCACGTTGTTGTTTTTGAAGAAGGTCCTTGGGGCTTGTGCCAGGGTGCTAGCGCGCGCTTGGGGCTTGTTGTCTACATGGGTTTGGTGCAGTCTGGGTTCCCTTGTTCTCCGGACTGTCTGGCCAACAGGACCAGGAGCACCACATTCTTAGACCAGGCCATAAGACCTTGTCCGGGTTTTGGGCTCAGGGTTTTCGGGGCCGCAATGGTAGCTTTTAGGTCCACCCAAAGCAAGACAGCCAGTGGTACTACGTCTCCTAAGCCCTAGGCCCCAAACGGTAAAGCCAAGCGGCAGAAGGAATCCACTCGACTCGACTCGACTGCCGCCTCATTTATCCACGTGGGTGTGCCGGCAGCACTCGATGACCCAAAGGTTTCGTGTTCAGGGCTCAAATTCCCCAAGCCCCAGGTTCAGGATGTGTTGCGGTCGGTCCCTGGTGACCACCTGGACGGTTTTCAAGGGCTTCAAGTTCAAATGCTGAAACCTGGATCCTGAGCCCTAAACCCTAAACGGAGTTGGTGAGCGTTCCGAGCAACACCCAGACCTAGGTAGTTCCTCACTAGGGTTAGAGGTCCTCATTCAGGGTTACTTGATAACTTACTTACCAGATCCCTAAACTATAAACCCTCATCCCTGATCCTTAAACCCTAAACCCACCGTAAACCCTGTGTTGGTTTAGGAGTGTGGGGGTTCGAGGTTAGGAGTTAGGGGAGTGCACCTCAGCAGCCAGAGGCGCACCCCCGGACCCCCAAAGTCCTTGGCCCGAAGCCCTTTTTTCAGGCGTTCGGGCTGTTCTTAATCAAGTTGTCCTGTGTTGATACCGGTTCAAGGGTTTAGGGTTTAGGCTTGAGGGTAATGTTCTGTCTGCTCTTCATGACAGCCCCTAAGCCGTAAGCCCGACACCCTGAACCCTACAGGTCGCTGCACATCCAGAAATAGACAGAAGGCTCTCCATCATGAAGCCCCGCCCTCGGAACTGGGTGATCCCTAAGGGTTTAGGAAGGCTATGCCTTCGAGGCGAGTTTAGGGTATTGGGTTGACCCCGTCAACACCCCTAAAAGCCCTAGGCCCTAGGACGTCGGGTTTAGGGTTTTTCCCCAAGCCCAAGCCCTAAAACCTAAACCCTTAAGCGCAAAAACGCTGGCAACCCTAATAACCTTTCAAACGCGCCAAAGCTTTGGGGATTCAGGGTTTGCAGCTGCGTTAGGGCAAAAGTTTTTTTGGCGCCATTGCTGTGCAACAAAGGCCAATCCCTAAATTTGAGGATGATTGTAGCTTCAATTCAATGATGAAGGTGTTGGGGCCTGGGGTCAAGGGAAAAGGTTTCAGTGGCGTGGGGCCTGAATGTTTTCGAACGTCTTAGGACTGAGCGTCTCGGGGAAGTCGGGTGTAGGATGTGGGGGTTTCCTTAACCCTGAACCCTGAACCCTGAACCCTAAACCCTAAACCCTAAACCCTAAACCCTACCACCCTAAACCCCGAAGATGATCTGAAAGCTCTGTAATTGAGAACGCCGATGACCCTAGGGAGGAGACGGGCAGCCTTGCGAGAACGGTTTGGGGGGTTGGCGTGTGGGGTTTAGGGTTTAGGTTTAGGGTGGTAGGGTTTCGGATCCGCGCAGGTGTCTCGTGGGGTTTTTGTGGTTTCCCAACCTCATACAACTTCTGAAGCTCCCAATATACCCCAAACCCTACCTATAGCACGACTTATGAGTACCCATGAGCCTCCCCAAGCAGGATTCACGGCTTTGGGGTTTTGGGGCTCTGAGGCTTTGTTGTGGCCCAGCGGAGGGGATTCTGCGTTTGGGCGTTTGGGGTTGATCGCTGCTTGTGCCAATCTGTTGGTTTGGGGCCGGGTTTCCGCGGAGGACTTGCACTTTTGATGCTGCCAGACTGTCGCAGATGGAGCGTAGCTTGTGAAACCTACTTACTTGTTTTGCCAATGCCATGGCGCTGCTTCTACTCGCCCTGTATGGGCCCCTGCTTGCCGAAGGCCGGGGAACTACTTTGGGTTTGTTTTACGACGGTTGCGTCTTGGCGTCCTTTGCGCTCCTCCTTCTTACTTTGGGGCAGTCCGCATCTGAAGTTTGAGCACCCGCTCGGGGAATTCACCTCAGCCCCACTTAGGGTTCAGTGTCTCGGGTGCCAGGGAGAGATGTTCCCCCCCTTATACTAAATGTCCTTACTAGGGATTATGCTTGGGGGGTACCCCTAAACCCTAAACCCTAAACCCTAAACCCTAGACCCTAGACCCTAGACCCTAGACCCTAAACCCTAAACCCTAAACCCTGAACCCTGAACCCTAAACCCTAAACCCTAAACCCTATCTGTTAGACAAAGCGTGGGGAACATCCCTGCCCCCTGCTGTGCAGCTCGAGGCCACCGAGGCGGCCACTCGCTCCACGCCAACTCATTTCTGCAGGCCCTGTGAACCCTAAACCCCAAACCCGAAACCCTAAACCCTAAAACCTAAACCCTAAACCCGAAACCCGAACCCCCAAACCAACCATGAGCCACAAGGGGGAGGGGAACCCGGGCATCCTGTAACCCTACAGCCCTGAAGCCCCCTTACAGCCCTTACAGCCCTTACAGCCCTTAAAACCCTTAAAACCCTTAAAACCCTCTAAACCCTCTGAACCCTCTAAAACCCTTAAAACCCTTAAAACCCTCTAAACCCTCTGAACCCTCTAAACCCTCTAAACCCTCTAAACCCTCTAAGCCCTCTAAACCCTCTCAACCCTCTAAACGCTCTAAACCCTCTAAACCCTCTAAACCCTCTAAACCCTCTACACCCTCTAAACCCTCAACCCTCAACCCTCAATCCTCAACCCTCAACCCTCAACCCTCAACCCTCAACCCTCAACCCTCAACCCTCAACCCTCAACCCTCAACCCTCAACCCTCAACCCCAAGCCCTTGCAAGATGCTGGAGCCGGCGCTCCTGCACGATGAAGACCACCGGGCACCACGGTCTGTGAGGCCACGGCACTGGGATGCATGGTTGAGGGCTTCGGGCTTAGGGTTTAGGGTTTGGGGTTTAGGGCTTAGGGTTTGGGGTTTAGGGTTTTGAGGGTTTGGGCTTTCGGGTTGAGGGTTTTTTGGGGTTTTTAGGGCTTCAGATGAGGCCATCGGGCTTTGGGAGCTTCCGATTCTTGGGGTTCAGGGTTCCCTAAACCCTAAACCCGAAGCCCCAAACCCCAAGCCCTAAACCCTAAAGTTGTTCGGGTCTGTTTCAGGATTTCGGGTTAGTTGGTCTCGGGGTTTTCGGGTTTCGGGTTTAAGTTTCCGAAAAAACCCAACCCCTCCGGAACCCTTTTCTGCAGGTAAGGGGCCATACTCAGGGACCACGCAATTTTCTTTAAGGATCGGGCTTGGGCTTAGGGTGTGTTCAGGCCGTCATGGTGCAATTGGCCCCTTAGCCCTAAACCGACCCTTCTCACCCTACCTGAACGCTAAAGCCCTAAACCCTAAAGCCCCTAAAGCCCCTAAAGCCCCTAAAGCCCTCAAAGCCCCTAAAGCCCCTAAAGCCCCCCCCCCCCCCCCCCCCCCCCCCCCCCCCGCCCCCCAAAGCCCCCGAAGCTCCTGAATCTCCTGCAGCCCTTAATTCCGCCATTGCGAGCTCCACCCGGACACTTACTGAGTTTAGGGTTTAGGGTTTAGGGTTTAGGGTTCAGGGTTTAGGGTTTCGGGTTTAGGGCTACTGAGTTCCGCAAACTCGGAAGCCACGAGCCCGTGAGCCGAAGGCGGCCGATGGAGGCTGTTGCCTTGGCCGAGCTGGGGTCGACACCGGCACAGGAGGAGGTCGCAGGGCGGGTTTAGGGTTTAGGGTTTAGGGTTTAGGGTTCAGGGTTTAGGGTTAAGGGCTGAAGGGTCCGATTTGGGGTTGGGGGTTTCGGGTGTTACGGTTTTGGGGTTTAGGGGTTTAGGGGTTAGGGTTTTGGAGTTTAGGGGTTTGGGGGTTAGGGAGGGTTTAGGGTTCAGAGTTTAGGGTTTAGGGTTTAGGGTCTTGGGGCTTAAGTTTCTGGTTCGGGTTCGCCCAAAGCCCAAAGCCCTAAAACATCCCAAACCTAAATCCTCAAGCTCGGTTGAGGGTTTAGGGTTTAGGGTTGAGGGTTGAGGGTTTAGGGTTTAGGGTTGATGGTTTAGGGTGTCCCCAAATAGTAGACTGTGCTACTATTGGGTCATTCTTAGGACCCCTTGAAGGGATGAGTGGCTCGAGGGATTTGGGGTTGTTCGCATTTAGGGTTTAGGGGCTTCAAGCTCCTCTACAAGATGTCGAGGATAAGGGCGGAGGAAAAACCCTGAACCTAAACCGCAACAGGCCCTAACTACGTGAAACCCCAAACCCCATACCCTAAACCCTAAACCCTAAACCCTAAACCCCAAGCCCCAAACCCCAAACCCTAAACCCTAAACCCTAAACCCTAACCCTAAACCTACACCCTAAACCCTAAACCCTAAACCCTAAACCTTAAACCCCAAACCCTAAACTCTAAACCCTGGGTTCAGGGCTTAGAGCTTAGAGGCTTTGCCTCCGGGATTCTCGCCCCCCGCGTTCCAAGGGCGGATACGATGACAAGATCTGTGGCCTGGCCAACCTTCGGCTTTTAGGGTTTAGGGTTTAGGGTTTAGGGCCTAGGGTTTAGGGTTCAAAGCCCCGAACCCGTAAGGCTTTTGGGTTGCCGGGGTTTAGGTTTTTAGGTATCTGAAGACGGAGCCTTCTGCGCAGTCTGATTTGAGCGCTCAACCGTTATCCCTAAACCCTGCTCCCAAGCGAAGGCGTAGTCATTAAAGTGCTTCAGGCACGGAGGAAGCGAGCATGCAACTTCTTTGCCCTAAACCCTAAACCCTAAACCCTAAACCCTAAACCCGAAACCCGAATCCTCCGTTGCCGTATCCAGCAACGGAGGAGGGGCTTGACGAAGCGTTCAGCAAGAATTGGGGTTTAGGGCTCAGGGTTCCCCTAAACCCTAAACCCTAAACCCTAAATTGTGAACCCTCAACCCTCATCCCTAAACCCTAAACCCTAAACCCTACACCCTAAACCCTAAACCCTAAACCCTAAACCCTAAACCCTAAACCCTAAACCCTAAACCCTAAACCCTAAACCCTAAACAACAAGGGTTTAAGAGTTTAGGGTCAGTTTCCGAGGTGACATGTGCACCTGGGCGGTGCAGTACATCGCCTCGAAGTGCTGCGTCGATGGAAGCCGACCCGCCGAGGTCGGTGCATGCAGGGTTGGGGTGTTTGGGTTGGGGTTGAGGTTTAGGGTTTAGGGTTTAGGGTTTAGGGTTAAGGGTTAAGGGTTTTAGGGTTTTAGGGTTTTAGGGTTTAGGGTTTAGGGTTTAGGGTTTAGGGCGGCTTAGGGTTCAGGTTTCAGGTTTTGGGTTTAGGGTGTGTGTTTTGGGCTTGGGGTGGGGCTCCCAGTCCCCAAATGAACGAGTTGGTGATGCAGGGCGTTGGGCAGCTTGGGATGTGGTGGCCTTTCGAGGTGTCTGCGGTTTAGGACTTTTGGCTTTTGGGTTTTGGGATGTTTTGGGGGAATGGGATTCTTTAGTTTAGGGGTTTAGGTTGTTTGTTGAGGGTTCAGGTTTAGGGTTTTGGGGGTTTAGAGTTTGGCGGTTTGTGGGTTTAGGGTTTGTGGCTTCAGGGTTTTTGGGGTTCTGTGTGGCTTTAGTGGGGCCTAATTCTCTGCGGTGTAGTTAACTAAGGGCTTGGGGTCTAGGCAGGGCTTTCGCTCTGTGGCGGGTTAGGCCGGCACACCTGGATCTACCAGTTGACCCGAAACCCGAAACCCTAAACCCTAAACCCTAAACCCTCAACCCTCAACCCTCAACCCCTAAACCCCTAAACCCCGAAACCCCTAACCCTGAACCATGCAGCCTAAACCCTGTTTGTTTACGGAACCAGGTGTGCAAAATTCCACTTGGGCAAAGGCGCAGACCCCAGACCCCAGACCCCAC